ATCTATGTTTTAAATGAATAGCGTTTTTATGTTGATTTAGCTCTGATTTGAATTTATAACTTTTATCGCAATTATTGAAATCACACTTAAATTGTCTTATACTTGAATGTATTAATTGGTGTTGATTTAAATCACGTCTATGTAAAGCCTTATATCGACAATTAGGCCAATGACACGTATAATACTTTGTATTATTATTAGTTTCGTTAATTGCAGTCAATTTAACATTAATTTTACATGAATTGAAATCAATTGTTTGATTCATATCTAAATTGCAATTATTTTTGGATTCAATGCTTTCACACAAAACATTTGTATTCAAAATACATTGCATTTTGTCTATCGTTTCGTTGAAAATCTTTATTTCATTCAATTTACTAATCAACTCATTCAACGAAACACTCGTTAATTGTGAACCCATTTTGCAAATCAAATTAAATACTTATTAAAAGTTTAACTTTTGATTTAGATATTAAAAATAACTCAAAATTAAACACAAATCAAAATCTTAACACAATTTTCAGTCAATGAAGTGAAAGCATTGTATTTCTTAACACAAAACTATAATAATTGACAGTTTTGTGAAATATTTTTACTGAAAATACTTTACACTTAAATAATGCCAATAACTGTAATACAGTATAATTGAAGTACAATTTACTGTAATTTATTGTAATGCAATATATTTAATGTGATTTAAATAATTATAATTATGATTTATGATTAAAATCAATACTTACTTTTCAAAGTTCAGTCTATAAATGATAGATTATTATCAAAATATTGGCTAAAATTTAATTAATATTTTTTTGTAGTTTTGTTTTTTACTATAATTTTATTATTAATCAATAACTAATACATTATTTTAAATAATTGTAATTATAATCATTAATATAATTATTATGAATGAATAATATTATGAATTAATAAGTGATTTTGACAAACAAGTGAGCGATTGGCAGATAATTGTCTAACAAATTGTAAATACAATTATATGAAGGAATCTATGGGTTTGGCATCACTTCTACGAAATGAGAAGGTTTTATGTCTTAAGACACTTACAGTAACTAATGTTAGAATTAATCGTTAAATTGTGACAATTTTTGTAGTAATTATGAAAAAACAGTTTCGAAATTACATGTAATTATTATGAGAGCAATTAGTAGACAGAATGTGACCACAAATTATCGTTTTTACAATTAATTCAATAAAAAATACTCAATAAAATTAGGTCTAAAATAATGACAAAATATAATATAAAATACAAGCCATTAGTTAAGAGTAATTTCTTAATTAAAAGACTTATCATTCAAACCAAATATACAGTGAACTCAAATGGAAGACACACTGGATTTTGTTGTTTAAATCATAATACAAATCATAGATGTGTTCTTAAGTGTTGTATTACTAAAACATGTTTAAATTAAATTAAAAATTAATTAACAAATTAAAAAAATTATACAATAATACGCATAAAAATAAGTAAATAATATATAATATTCAACAACAATACGATTAATAAAATATTAAAAACCAAAACCGGATATTTAGACACAAATAATAATACAATTTATGGCAACAATTATTTGTGGTTTAGTTTGTATTTGTAAGGAATGATTCGTTAATTTGGCAAATCTCTTGCGAAACCACAAATGGCTCACAACAGCACATAAACATACGTACAAACAATGATATGAGTATTAATATTATTATTTAGTGATAATAACAGACAATTTCTAAATATTATTACTTTTTTTCGTTTAATAATTATTATTAATCCAAAAAATTGATTTTATTAAATGGAATGACAATTAAAATACTACTACCGGTTCTGTCATTACAATCTATACACTGATCCGGTCATCGCCTGAGCCGTCGGTGTCGTCGTCATCGTCTCCGTCGTCATCCACGTCGATGTCTTCGCGTGATATCAACTGATCTTCAATAGTCCGATGACGGGCTCTGTTTAGCAGTCCTTCTGTTGATTATTGTAATAAACAATGCATTAAATAAGAGATCAATTTCACCATAAAATGTCAATTGAATACTCACTACAATCGGGTGAACCCCTTCTTCTGGTGTTCGTAAACTCGACGCCATTCTTGTCGACACACCAACAGATACCAGAACTCGAGTGACATTGCATTGGCTTATAAAAGCCATGGCTATCACATTGTGGAGAGTATGCGCCCAACAGTCCCTTCTTAGTGTGTTTCAACGCATTGAGACACGGCTGACCTGACAGTCCAAATGCAAACAATACAATCATTAGTCTTTAATTAACACAACAAAAACAAACAATAAAATGCAATACTCTTTTTGTCAAAACAGGTGCACCACTCGTAAGCACTGAGAAACTTGTCGTTGTCTTCATCGCATTGTGTGAGGTATGGCTGTAAACAGTGTTCATTCTGGTCGTGCTCTAAATAGTACAGCTCTTTGAGGGACAGCTTGAGGTCGGAATTGGTGTCGAAGTGATGAAACATATACGACACCTCTGGCTGACAGTCGGGTATCTTAAAAGCCGAGTGTTTGCGGCTCTGAATCGCGTGGTCTTTCTTCTGTTCGGCGATCACAACACTGAACCAATCGACAAGTCTTGAGCCCATACTCTTCAGATCATCGGCCGTACACTTCTTGTGCTCGGCTTTGGAGGACTCGTAGTGTCTGTTCGGCAGAACAGAGTTTTGCATATTTTGCTTGTTTTCCGGTTTCTTGTATTTGTTGTTTGGTTTGAAATAAGACTTTGATTTCGACTTAAATTTGTTGTCCATATTATTATCATTAGATTTCAAATCGGAATAACTCTTCTTCTCTTCGCGTAATTTATTCTTATTCTCGAAATCTTTACCCGTTTTTCGACTTTCAGACCATTTCTTCTCAATCTTTGTCTTCTTATTCTTCTTCTGAAGACACGGACAAAATCCGGTGCATTCGAGCCGTACGTCTGTCTTATGGACACAATTGTGGAAATCTAAGCGACAAATGGAGGAATACGTGGCGTTATCTGAGCCGCAGATGAACTCCGGTCTCACGACAGGACACGGAGTGCAGAGTTTAAGCTTATTTTCATCCGATTTTGTGAATGTGTTCTTCTCGTCGGACTCGTCATCGTATTCCTCGTCGTCTTCGTCTTCGTTGTCATCGATCGACAAATCTATCGCTTGTTTCGACTTTGACTTCGGTTTCACATCGAAAACGTCCACATCCTTAGCGTCGGTCTGTTTCTTATGGACACAAACGGCCACTCCTTTCGATTTAATCACACAATACTCCCAACTCTTGCACTTCACGTCTTTGCAAATGTCTTCAATTGTCCACCAGTTGTACATTTGTCTCATCTCTCGATTCAGACTCGACTTCGATGTCTGAGACAATACAAAATGAGTTAACAATTGAAACAAATCAATAAATCAAATGATATATTCAGTTACCAGTTGTTTGTCATCTCCGAAGTCAAAGTCCTTGTCATCGGTGGTGTGATGTAAGCGTTGGACGCGTTGGTGAGTGTCGTCATCGGCGGTGCGGTGTTTGGTTTGGACGACGGATGCGATCAAAGCGACCAAAAGGGCGAAAGACAAGCACTTTATGCCACAATTCATTGCAATTCAGAGTCAATGCAAACACTTATGGATTCAGGACTTAATGAAGACAACGATTATTGCCATCCATTGAGTACTGCAAGTGATTGACAACCGATTCACTCATTCAATGCCATTGCCATCACTTGCGGATGGAGTGGATTGAGTGGATCTGAAGCAGTGATTAGACAAATACAGCACTCAATTCATTAATCACTTATTGATTGTTTGTGTTTATCGTCACATCTATTGAGCCATCTTTGAGATGCCATTCACTGCACACAACATAACACTAGTGTTGACACAACGCCTATAGTCAGCACCGCTTATATTTGCCGTTACTTTTCATTAAGCTATTAATTTAGCCATTAGTTTATCTAGATTTGTAATTTTGTTGTGTTTTTATGCGTTAAACTTAATTACTTGTTGTTTAGTTAGATTTGTATGTAAATTATGTATTAATAACTGTATAATAAAGTGATTACAACACTATTGATGTAATTATGTATTGAGTGGTTGTTTACACAAAAGGTGTCGCTTTTCAAGTGTTTTCGAGAGAAAAATAAAAACAAGTTTTTTAATGAATTGAATGCAATTCAGAGTCAATGCAAACACTTATGGATTCAGGACTTAATGAAGACAACGATTATTGCCATCCATTGAGTACTGCAAGTGATTGACAACCGATTCACTCATTCAATGCCATTGCCATCACTTGCGGGTGGAGTGGATCTGAAGCAGTGATTAGACAAATACAGCACTCAATTGATTAATCACTTATTGATTGTTTGTGTTTATCTCAACATCTATTGAGCCATCTTTGAGATGCCATTCACTGCACACAACACAACACTAGTGTTGACACAACGCCTATAGTCAGCACCGCTTATATTTGCCGTTACTTCCCATTAAGCTATTAATTTAGCCATCAGTTTATCTAGATTTGTAATTTTGTTGTGTTTTTATGCATTAAAATTAATTACTTGTTGTTTAGTTAGATTTCAATGTAAATTATGTATTAATAAATGTATAATAAAGTGATTACAACACTATTGATGTAATTATGTATTGAGTGGTTGTTTACACAAAAGGTGTCGCTTTTCAAGTGTTTTCGAGAGAAAAATAAAAACAAGTTTTTTAATGAATTGAATGC